AGATGAGCTTTCCTGCTTTCACACAAAGAAGTAAAACCCACCTCAAAAAAAAAAAAGCCTGCTAAGAGTTGAAATACGAATAGCATAGTTACAACTGTTGGCAGAATACCTTGTGCACCGCAGCTAATTCTGCTACATGCACAATCTGTCAGATATGAGAATAGCCAACAGCAGGGAAAAGCAGTCTAACTGAAAAGCAATAATTTTGTCAGCAAAGAAAATAATATATTACCAAAATGTATAAATGTAAAGCTACATAGGCTTTAGAAATCTCATGGAATGTTCACAAGCCAATGATGAAAAGATCTTGAAAAACTGAAGTCCCTTGAGGTTAAATGCATAAAAATACATTAAAATGTTGTGCTGGTTTGTTATTATACTTATACTATTTGATTATATTGTTTCATTTCTTTTCAGGAAACACCCTAAAGTGTTAAGAATACTCAAATATTAAGAAAACTTCTATTTTCTTTTCAAGTTATTAGCACACAATATATATCATTCCTAGTGTACTTCCAGATGTTTCCACTGATACTTTGCTATGGCTTCTGTCAATATCTGTGGAAGACCCAATGACACAAAAATAGTTCTACTTTCAGATTCATGAATTCTGATATTGTTTCATAGTAAATACTGTAAATTTAAGGGGTAGTTTTAGTGAGCTCATCATTACCCAAAATGGCCGCCGGGACACCCAAAATGGCTGCCAGAACATGGGGAAACATAAGAGAACGGTGAGTTTTGGGCCCATTTGGAACGCATTAAACTTCGTTCCAATGGGTTTTCCCGTTCTGCTTAACGATGTTTCCCCATAGCTATGCGGGGCACCACTGTACAGCAATTCCCTTTGCCTGCCCAGCCCGGAATAAGAGTTGAGACACAGGTGTTGGATCAAACTAGAGCCACAACTTTATTAAACTATTTAAACATTGATTTCCCCTTACCGCAAGGGGGGCTACTGTAGTGCGAAAATCATCCTCTGAGTCCGGTGTACCGTTTACCACCGGATCAGGCCACCAACGGGCAAGTTCCTATTACTGAAGCACACCGACCTCTGTCTAGCATGTCTTCAGCCACTCCACTGCAGGAATCCCTCCACTGTTTCAGTCACCAAGTCTTGTGACCCCAGGTGCACTGCTGCCCGGGAGATTCCTTTAGTTCCCATTCTCCTTCATATAACTCCTTGTTCAACCAATCAGGGAGATGGGATGACTGATACCATCCTCAGGTGTCCCAATGGAACTCACCAAAACTCTTTTATTTTTTGCACTACCAACCCTTGCAACCTAATTAGTGTGTCCTCCTAATATTACCTAATAACCAGGAAGTAAGAATTGTATGGGTGAAAACACACGTGTTTCCTATCACATGTCAATTGTGGAGACAAGCCAAAAAATTCCATCTGGCCCGCAAGCGACCAGCTACTCTCATTCTTACTTACAAGGGTGAGTGGGTGGTCCATGATGTCCTGCCGCCAAAAGAGGTTGTGCAGTGGGGAGGGGAGAGCCAGCTTAATAAATGCTCCTAGCTCAACCCCTCCCCTTCAGCCTCTATGTAGACTGCCTGAGCTCATCTGGGTGGGCAGGCACAGTGCAACTGCGGCAGTAGCTTTGCGCCATGCGGAGCGGATCTTCTATGTACAGTGGGGTCTTGACTTGAGAACTTAATCCGTATTGGAAGGCGGTTCTCAAGTCAAAAAGTTCTCAGGTCAAATCTGCATTTCCCGTAGGAATGCATTGAAAATCATTTGATCCGTATCTGCTCTTTTCCGTCCATAGAAACGAATGGGAAGCTGCTATTCTGCCTTCGACCACTAGAGAGGGATATTTTGTTTCTTTTTTTCTTAGGTCAAGAAAGGTTCAGGGAAGGCAGGGAAAGTACAGTCCAGGCAGTACCAGGCAGTCTGAAGACTGTCTCCCAATCCACTCTCTAAATGCTGGGAGGAGTGAGGAAGCAGACAGGCACCCTTTTCACTGGCCAACAGTTAACTGAAAGTTCAAATTTTGCAGTTTCCCTGCCTCCCACGTGGTTTTTTTCAGTTCTTAACTCAAATCTAAGTATGTAAGTCAAGTCAATATTTTCCTATGAGAGTGGTTCTTAAGTCAAAATGTTCTTAACTCAAGCCGTTCTTAAGTCAAGACCCCACTGTACTTGTATTGTGAAAAATACTCATGTTACATGTCATGTTTTAAGGCAATTTCCAGTAGAAAAAGCTAAACTATCTCCACATTACATAATCTATGATGCAGCTTTGTGAACTGATTTAAACCAGGTTTCCACAACTGTGACCCTCTTTATGCCTGAAAAAGGAACTTCCCATCAGCCTCAGTCAACATCACTCACGGTGAAAGGGCCCTGGGAGTGATGTTGGCCCAAAAACTAGCGGAGAACCACAGCTGCCGACTCGTGAGTTAAACTGTCTTGGCATTTTCCAACAAGGGCCCATGTGTGCACAGAGTCTTGTTAAGCTCCATAAAAGCCAGCTGAGCACTTGGAAGTACATGAATCTAGCACAAACGGTCAGAAGCAAATGAAACAGTAATAGGGGGAAGGAAATATTCCAGGAACACACACTCAGCCTCTTCTCCTTCATGGTGCAAAACAATGGAGCATCAATTACCTGGAGTAGGTGAACTTCATGGTTCAGAAGAACACTACAAAATCCACAAGATTCACAGAACTCCAGACACTGTGGTGACGCATTTACTAATTAAGTTAAGCAAACTTAATTCAGAGGAAAAATGAACAACAAAGTATTTGGCTCTCCTTCCTACCCTGACATGAGGGAAACCTTCTGGTATAAATTAGAGCAGTTGCTGCTTAATTCTGAAAGCTTTGATTGTATTAATTTCTAAAGTATATGATCTACATTTCTGCCTCAAACAGATCCCCTCTTAGCAATGTCAAGCTCCAGCAACACACTACACAGGATGAAGGAAGAGATTACCAGCTAGAGAAACCAAGATTGCCAAACTTCTTCGGCTTCCCTTTTTTTTCAGGCAGGCATTTTTAAGCAAAAAAAGAAGCACCTTGGACATTGTTCCCAATTATACCCCTCTTTCCACCTAACATGGATCAGGCATTATGTAATAAAGATGCACACAAAAACCCACACAATCATGAAATGTACTTCCCGGTCTTATCTGAATCATAAGCACCTTATTTGCTTTCACTGTCGCAGTGCTTATAAATGATGCATAATAGACTCTAGAGATACAAACTGATGTTACAAAATGTAATTGTATCTCTCAGTGGTAAACCCTTTACCGTTTAATCATTTCCAAAAAATATCCTTTGTGCTTTAGTCAGAGTAATTCTATAAAGATGGAAGACTCTGATTAGATTGTTACTATTTTAGTATCAAGTTTGCTTTTAAAAAAAATACCTAGAGCAGGGATTACTGTTTTATAAACTGTTCCTTGCTCCTTCTCTAGCAAAAGCTCCATGATGGCCGCCTTAAATCTTGCAAAGGATTATTCTTTCTATAAAAGAGATTCACAGAGCTTAACTCTCAGTTCTCTATTCTCAAATCATCAGCAAAACCATCTACTTTACCCTAATGAGGACTCTAGTCTCTGAACTAGAAAAAAATCTGTTGCTAGGCAACACAATGACATCAGCAACCTGTAACATTTTCACAGAAATATATGAAACTAGCAGCTGTCGCAGCTTCTCTCACTTATGCTAACAACAGTTTAAAAGCTCCCGTCATCTCATTCTTCTACTACCTAAAGCAACTTAGATATCAGAATCACATCTGAACAGTTTTGCTATTCCTTTCCCCTGAGTCAGTGTAATAAAGGGCAGTTATACAAGGAGAGAGAAAGAGATGAGAAAACTATTGAGCTTAAATTGTAGAAACAGGTGATACTTAGCTCACACAAACACAATCTTTAAAATGTAAGATAGTATGGATATAGTAAATCTGATTTCAAAATTGTAAGACATGAGTGTGATATCATCTTCAGGGGATAAAGGTGGCTGCTACCCGTGAAGCTTTAGAAACCTAAGTACATGTTCACTTTGAACAACTAGCTCAGGGCAGAATTCTATCGCTAGGAAAGTTAAAAACAGAAAATCTGTGTGGGGGTGGGGGGGTTCAAAGCACATTCACTGCGTTGCCTCCCTTCTGTTTACCACTTAGCCCATCCTGCTAAAATTCTCTGCAGAAAGAAAAATACACACATAAAGTGAGGAACACATGAAAATGCATTAGACCAGAGATTAGAAAAGTTGAAACAGCGTACTTTACTACAGCTCCCAGAATATTTCAACCAGTATTGCCAGTTCTGAGAGGTGTAACTGGAAAAACTTTAAGCACCTCTGAATCCACCTGGGTCTCATCTCCATTCACTGACAGCAGCTCTCCAGGTTTTTAGGCAGTGGTCTTGCCCAGCCATACCCGAACATACAAGGGACAGAATGTGGGGCTAATAACCTCCAATGCACGTTCCTGTGGCTGAGCTATAGCCCATCTATGAAGCGAATGAAATAATGAACTATTTGACGTAATGGCAAAGTATGTCCAAGAAGTATAAACCAGATAATGGGAGCATACTTGAGCCAACTGCAAGCAAAATTATCAATACAACTACATATTTGTCTTGCACTTTTAATTACATATTTGGAGCTTCCCACAGGACTATTCCTGCACCTTCTCATTTTGCCATTCATTGTGTTTCCTACACAGAGGAGATACACTCATTTCTATAACATGTGATGTATCAGTCTTTTGTTCTCCAGTAGAATATTAGCTGGGTAATTCCAAACACCTAAATAAACAAAATAGCCCAATTCTGTGAGAATAGAATGTACAAGTTTAAGAAAGGAGGGAAAAAACAAACACAAACAAACAAACAAAAGCAGTAAGATAATGAGTTAAAACCATAACCATGTCATCTTTTTCCAAGCAAGAAACACATTTCAACTATCATGGAGAACTCCTGTACATTAGGTGGCTTGAAGTACAAACTTTAATCAGGAAATTGCACAGAACTTACCAGTTTGCCACCAATGATCCAACACTGGTACCTTGAAGATTTTTTTGCACCATTCCAATGTATCCACATCACACCTTTCACCAGCGACAAACAGTGTTCGGAACCTACATTAAATAGGATTATTTTCAGCATTAATTCCCAACAAAGGGAACTACACAAAAAATTGTCACTGTTGTATGCTTGCTCATAAACACTACGGAGTTTATTCTATATTCACCAGAAAGGTTCTTGCAATCCTTTGCTCATTGTTGACAAACAACCACTCCCTGTGGCTGAAATCTAGCAGTAAGCTGCGACTAGAGTAGTGCCACTGAATCAATGGAAGAGGAGATGACTCACCAAATTCCCACAGTTGCAACTTACTGCTGGATTTCAGCCACTGTTTATTAAGAGGATTGTGGTGAGAGAACTTTAGCTGCACTCTTCCTTAATTTCTAAGGAGACATGAGGAATATGTCACCCTTCAGATGTTGGTAGACTGGAATTCTAATTAATCCTAGCCTAAATATCTAGCTAATGGGATGGTTGATGGGAGCAGCAGTCCAACAGCATCTTGAGGCTCATATATTTCCCATGCATCTTATAAAGTTTATTCTAGATGAGTAGCCCTGTTATTCTGTTGGGAAAAAGGAACAAATAGTCCTTATTTGTTGTATATTTTCCTGCAATTTCTGATTGAAACAGTACACTGTTTTCACTAAAGGCTGAACATCCTTGATGACTAATAGATATACAAGCATAAGCTATTGTGAACTAGAATCTACTCCTTCTAGTCTGTAAATGCAACAAGAGATGTTACACTTGCTCCTTGGAAAGACTAACATATCCCTGTGCTGCCATTCCTGGAAGAGATGAGAGGAATCTATTACCAAGTGGGTACTCTCTGTCAGAGCAGCAGTGAGATACAATTTTCAGTTAAAACACAAGATCTCCTAAGGCAGTTGTTCACTTCTACCTGCTCAGGGGGGAGACAAGAGCAGACATGCTGGATGCTTGCTTTAAAAAGCCACATCACATCCTGGGAGTTCAATAATCAGAACTGGGCCAGCAACAGATAAAAGTGTGGAAAATATGTGAGGGAGTGCTTTGTAAATGGCAGAGGGCAGTTGCAAGCCATAAAGAGAACTGAGTTAATGGGCAAACCAGATGACACGTAGGAAAATCTGTCACATAAAGTGGCTGAAGAAAACAGACAAGGCCAGAAGTTAGGTCTGCAACTTAAGAGTCATCAATGAATTAGTTAGGGGAGCACCCATGAAATATATGCTTGTTTTGCAGACTAAAACATACCAGGTTTAATGTGATTAACGGTGTGCCCATATGCTGCTATTCTAGCTTTTGTGGATTGCACAGCCTGCTAAGTTTAGTTTAATTCAAGTGGAAGAAAAGCACACTGCTCCTGCCCACTTTCACCACCTACAGAAGCCAATTGCTCTCCTTTACTATGGCATTTTACCAGCACATCCTTGTCTGTGTCAAACAGAACGATTCCATCTGTCTTTTGGAAGCTATACAAAATTCTTCTTATTTTTCCTATTTCAACAACCAGAGATGTTGCAAAATCTTTAATATAAACTACAAAACAGTTAAATCAGTTGTAACAGATCCAAAGTCCTCATTTAATTCATTCAAATTACATTTTATTTGATGACATGGGATCTTTGCTGTGCTAACAGTACTGTAAAACATATAGTCATAACCGAAAAAAGTCACTAGAACATCATGTTAGATGTTATCTGATAGATTTCTGGTCCATGTATTACAGTTCAACCTCCTATTTCATTATCACCTAAAAGCACAAGTGCAAGAATAGCTATTCTACGGGGCAATCCTGTGCTTACTTAATCTAAAGTAAACCACACTGAGTTCAGCAGGACTGACTCCCAAGCAAATATGTATACAGGATTACAGCTTTATTCTTTAAAAGAAACCAAGCTGTGGCAGTAGTTGTCATTGTGGTTGTGACTGTTGCTGTTGCTCTGCTAACAACTCAACTACTTTTGCAAATTATGAATCAAGAATTCTTCACCTAGAAATGGTAATAGCATGGGCTATGCTTCCTTGAAAATGGACTGCTGGCCAGTGATGGGTTGCACCTCACAAGTACTAGGAACAATGTGTTTGACCACAGCATGAAGAACTTCATCACAAGGGCTTTAAACTGAATTGGACGTGGGAGCCTCATGGCTGGAGATGATGGGAGATGCAGTCCAACACATACAGAGGATGCCAGGCTAGTGAAGCCTGATTCAAACAAACCATAGTTTTCTGTAAAACAGAACTGAATGACAAAAGTTTATAGAAACTTTGTAATTTTAGTAAAGAGGCAAGCTATAATCCTCTTCACTAACATGCCCTCTAACTTTCAGGGCTCCACCTCTCTTGTGTGACTTTGCCCCTGTGTGCGCATGTGTCTCCACCCCCCCATGGGCAGGGTTCCATCAGAACTGAACACAATCACTGCATGGAGGAGGAACACAGCTGTGCACAGGGAGGCATAGGCACACACACGTGCAGACAAACAGCTTAGAAGGAACCTTGCTCTTCACCCATGTGTGAAAGAGACTCCAGTAGTACAGTGGGAAGCATGATCATTCTATGATGCCTCCAAATATCCAATGGTGCTTATGAAGAAAGGAGAGAATAAATGGGCCTGACGCAGTTGGCAAAATGATCAAGTATCTATTACACTGACCTAGTCAAGCAATAATATGCACGTCTTATGCAGTATTATTGGTCACAGTATTTGCATAATTGGCTGAACATAAGGCACTACAGATATTTCAGACTTACTTCTAACAGCAAATTTTAAATAGATTCTGGGGTAACCTCAACTCACCTTGTCAGACTGTACTGTTTCCCCAAGGCTGCCTCAGGGTCCTGTTGACGGATTGCTCTAATTGCAGTTGGTGCGGTAAATAAGGCAACCACCCCATGCTCCGCTAGCACACGGAAATAAGCACCAGCATCTGGAGTTCCCACGGGTTTCCCCTATGAAGACATTTGTTTTAAAACTGTAATTAGTTAAAAACTGTTTCATAACTCTTTCATAGTTCAAGCCCTGAATGCAGTAACAGTATCAACTCAGCACAATGATCAAGCAAAGGGCAAAATGTGTTCTTACAAATGACTGGCTCAAAGATACCCAGCAATTCACCACTGGGTCAGGGTTGGAATCCAAATCTCTGAAGTGCTAGCTAAAAAATTCTAACTAAGGAAAAATCTGCTGTATAGAAATCAGCTATCAACCTGGTTGAAATTATCCAAATCAATGTTAGCCCTGATACCGAGAGTAATGTCAAGTAAACATAGGCTCCCAGACAGGATTTCAATTCTTCTTTCTATGCTTACTCCACAATGGAATGCTGCAAATCAACCCTCTCCCAAAGAAGTGGCTGTATAAATAGATTTGAGGGGAATCTGTTCCGCTTCTCAAATGCAAACACCACAGAGCTATCAGTTACTTAGCATATCTTGCTCCAAAGAATCCATTCTTCAAAGCAGGCAAGCCGGCTTTCCTGCTGTTCTGGTGTGTGAGAATATCCCCCACTCCCTGCAACATCTCATTATGTTCCTTCTAAAATACAGCAAGACAACAAGCAATTAATAGAAGAGCAAAAGGTCTGGCCCACTGGGTTTTGCTGTCATAAAATATCTGCTCCTTAACAAGCTATAATTTCCTCCATCTCACAGTGACATAAGGAGACAGAAAAGTAAGACTGCCTGGACGCAACTAGAAAAACACAGTTCCTTGCTGTAACTGTTGTTCTTTGGAACAATCATCCTAGTTCTGCAGGATTAGCGGTATTGTTTTCCCTTTGTCAGGTCCACATAGGGGTTGAAGATCCTGCTCATGCAACCACTGCTCTGACCACAAACTTCTAGGGTATTTAACAGATAACTAGAAATATAAAGGCCACAATGTGTTTCGTTACATGCAAACAGCTATATTTTCTTCATATATAGTTCTGTATTTCTGTATATGGGAGCTTGGAGATTTGTTCAATAGCCATGCTATGGGAAGAGACAACCACACAAAGAGACCCTACAGGCCAGCATTCTCAAAGCTTATACTAAAACTGGCTTAGAAATCAAGAGCAGCCTTCTTAACAAAAAATAAGTTGGATATTTTCTACACAAATATTTGGTGTGAATTTGGGGATAGGAATAAATGGGCCCCCTTTGAGAACAGGTGAGAGTTCAGGTGCAGGGCTTTTCTTGGCAGCTTCCAGCAGCAAGTTTCGCCCTCTGATTTTCCCACTCCTTGAAAAAAATTAACTAAAAATGGCCAGACCATGTAATCATTCTCAAAATGGTTGCCAATCTGGGAAGGCAGCAGTTTGGCTCAGCAGTCATGCAACTATAAGGAGCAGCAAAGGATTCAAGCCTGCTACTTACTTTTTAGAACACATCCACAGATATGTTCACTGTAGAGAATTGGCACATACAAAACTCCAGGGGAAGGAAAGCCCTAGCTTTTGCCTAATTTGTCCAGCAAATAGTATAGATTGCCTATTTTTGGTGAGTAAATAGTATAGATAAGGAGTCCTGGGATTCCCCCTCCCAAAAGGTCCAGTCCTCATCCCCAAGCACCTGGGAAGGTGAGCTTCATGCATGGAAATTCTGCTCTTATCTTTGATATCAGAGCAGCGATAACAGCAACTTTTCTGCACCCTGCTTGACTTTCCTACTGAGATGAAGAGCCTGTAATCAAATTCTGCTGCTTCCTTCAGTCTGAGACTGGAAATAGCACCATCTTGCATGCTACATGGGGAATGCAAAGCAGTGAGGAACAGTCCTCATGAAAAATATGAGTGAGACATGAAAACAATACCTCCAGCCACAGTCCCACTCCCAAAAAGAGGAGAAATATCACAAATGCCTCTAGTCTCATATCAGAGAAAGCAGCAGGATTTCCACTTGCAAGCTTACTCCCCATTGAGACCAAGCACATTTGGGAGAGGGGGGATGAAAGTCTCTACTACCTCCAACTGAGATGGAAGATGGTGTAGCGAAAGAGGAAATGACAGGTGAGAAGGAATAAGGCTAGATGATCGCAGATAAGAGGTGGGGATTCCAGTGACATTCTCTTGCCCACCAACGTAGCCCCAGGGGCAATCCATCCCCATCAACCTACTTCCCCACCCACACTTTTCTGTAACAAAGCATGGCATGTGTCTGCACTAGAGATGGGGATGACTCCCCATTTTGGCAAGTCCATAGTGTACAGCATGTATGCCATTTCCTGGGCTCTACGGCCTCTTTCATTGTTTGAGCTTCCTAAGAAGTCTCCAGAGGATTTAATGCCATTACTTCTTCCCTTGGAGTTCTTCACTGCCACTGCCAGATTGAAACATCTTCTTGCTGTCTTTATTGTTTAAAAGAAGCATAGAGACAGAAGGGTCTTTATAACCACAAGACAAAAAAACTCACCTATCAGGCAGCAGCATGGGAAAGTCCAAAGGGGAGAAGCATAAGGTTAAGTTCCCAAAGGGAACTGTAAAGTACAGAATAGCACCTGAACTGCACAATAAAGGACATGAAAAAATATATCTCTTGAAGCCCTCATTAAAGCAATACTGTAATACTGAAGCCCCATATCCTTGCACTCAGATAAATTTCTGAGAAAACTTCCACCCTTTCACATAATTGTTGAATGCAATTTGTTTTTAACTTTTCTCTACAATAACATTTAGCACAGTGTCAATACTTTGTGAAGAATGGGGTTCTTTCCACATAGAGGTCCTCCAGAGGTCCACTGAGTACAAGACTACCTCCCCAAAACACGGTAAAGGAAAATAAAAATAAAAAAGAGGGGAGATATCTATTGCGAAATGTGAAATGGGTCTGATGACTGAATCCAACAGCAGAGAGCCCTGCCTTTGATAAACATTTAAACAGTGAGATTCACCAAGCAAGAGTAATGGTACTTCTAGCAAACCCATATTGTTAGCTGCTTTGCTCACATTGTAGAAAAGCAGGACACAAATATTTTAAGGTTAACTGTGGGCCTCTATCTGTTGCTTGATTGCACATTCTGTCATCATTTACCATTTTTATGCTGGCTAGGACTAACAAAGTTGAAGTCCAGCAACATCTAGAGTTGTGTAAGGTACCCACTGCTGTTTTAACTTTAAGGAAACACAAAATGGAAACCAATATCAGACACCACCACTTGATCCTGCTTTTTCTCACTAGCTAAACTTTAAACAAATCACAGTTCCTCAGACTCTAACAACTGGAAAACTGAGGTTTGCTTAAACTCAGAGGCAGCAGCTCATGAAACATTATCCACACAGTGGGAAGCAACTTATACCAGGTCTGTGCCAAGCTATCATGAGGCTGCTCAGAATTTGTAGAAGTTACTCATGTTGACAACATCTCTTATAATTCTATACTGGCTTGCTGAAGAGTAAAAATAATTGTTATTTTTAAATTGTTGTGAGAGCTTATTTAGCTGACAAATGCACGAATAAATAAACAAGCAACATTAAAAATAAGTAGTCACCTCATATAAAATGGTTGTATTCCCATGGAGGAGAGGACCATAACAAATATAGGAATGGCCAACCACCCAGCCTAAATCTGATGCTGCCCACCAGACCTGGAAACAAAAAACCAAAAAGGTATTAATATGTTTTTTCCCCTATAATTGCAAACTAGAATATAAACAAACAAAATAAATTACCTCCTTAGATTGAAGGCCATATATAGCTGACATTGTCCAGTTTAGCATAACTGCATAGCCACCTGTTGGTCTAACAACACCCTATGTGAGAAATAACTTCAAATTAACATCATTTGTAAATAAATATATACTGGAATTTTCACCCATTAGGAAAATTATTATTTCCAAAATTTAACTTTCAGAAGCAATTAACATATCTTGTACCAACTCTTAAGGAGCCATAAAAACACAGCTTCACTTCTGTGTACATTCTGGCATGAGGTAATTACATAGATAAGAGACAATGACCAATCAAAAAAATAAATATGAATGAAACATTATTGCTATTTTCATTATTTATGGGGGAAATCAGAAACTTGAAAATAAAGAATTTGTTGCAAATCTTATAGACACCACAAGATCTGAGATCACTAGGAATTGGAAAAACGCTCACGATCTCTCATTATAAGCATAGGAAGAGAAGGGGAAGGGATCAAATCGATCCCTCCAGCCCCTCTGCTTTTGCAAAGGCAGCAGAGCTGTGGGATCGCTTAGATCAGGCTATGCTCCTCTTCCTATCCGTGCTGGGGCACAGGAAGAGGAGCAAAGGGGGACCCAAGCAATCCCCCACCCCTGCTGTCTTTGCAAAGGCAGCGGGGCTGGGAGATTGCTTTGATCCCGCTTTGCTCCCTTTCCTCCTCTTCCTATGCCCCTGCAAGCACAGAAGACGTGGAACCTTCTGTGTCTACTGTGTGCACTAGGAACAGTTCCACGGAGACAAGAGAGAAAATCCAAATCAGATATTCACTGACAAGGTATTTCAAATATTAAAAGTAACACTGAGTAATGAAATAATACTAAAATAATCTTCAGTAACAATCTTTATGATCAGAAAGCTGTGAAAACATTTTCAGCCTCTTAATAAAATATTCCTTCACATGGACTAGAACATAATTTGGTCAGAGATACTCATACTAAAAGACAGAGCCAACCTTGGGTGTGCCAGTTGTCCCTGATGTGTAAAGAATATAAAGTGGATGATCTGAAAGGACAGGGACACAGTCACAAGGCTTTGCTTTCGCCATTTCTTCATCCCAATCCAGGTCACGTCCTGGTTTAAGCAGGGCAGGATCCTGCATACCGAGAGACAGAGAACAGCAACATTTGAATTGCATTTAGCAAAAAGAAAAAAGAAAAACTCAACAATTAATCAGGCCTTTCTTACAGAGACATCAAATATACTATTCCCTCAACCACAGGAATGTCATCAGTTATGTTGAAATATACAGAACTTTATGCTTGAAAAAAAAACAAGAAGAATTTCACCACAGGGATAGGGCAATGGCATTTATGTTGCATGAAATATTCCACTGAAAATATCCATGGAACAATTATAAATGGAAAGATAATGGTACAAAAATGTCTCCCAGATTATTTGCTGTTAACATTACCATATTTGGGCGACTATAAATCAGAATTTTCTCAGGTTGATGATTTATCATTTCCAGTGCTTTTTCAAGAAGTGGTACATATTCCACTTTTCTTCCAGGTTCTATTCCAAATGTTGATGTTACGATAAGTTTTGGCTAAAAGAAATTTTAAAAATTTGCAAATTAAAATGTTATTTTTGAAACATTCAACATAATAGATCTTTGACTGTTTCACATATTACTTTGATAATAGGATCCTAAATGAACAATAATCATGTACATAAGCGCAAATGGGGCTTATCCCCAAATATTTCATATCCTCCATCCCACAAACCAAGAAAAAAGCAATTCATATGGAAAATGAGAAATATTTTTCTTCTGCCCAGGGGATTCCTTCCACTATCAACTTCATGCACTAGAGGTACTTTCAAGGTGTAAAGGAGAGAGGGGCCAAGGGGAATCAGAACCTGAGATGTGCAAGTGGCATGGGTAGCTGATCTCACAGAGAGGTGTTCTGATAGGTAGTGAGGTCCCAAACCATTCAGGGATGGTTTATATACATCAATATTAGTACCTTGAATCTCGCATGGAAGCAAATTGGCAGCCAATGCATGGAAGTCAGAACTGGATTATGAGAAATATGATCATATCTCAAAATCCCCAAGATTAGCCTGGCCACAGCACTTTGTATCTGCTGCAGCTTCTGTACAGCCCCAACTAGAGAGCACTGAAATTGTAAATCAATGAGATTACCAATGTGTGAACTAGTATTATCAGGGACTTCCTGTCCAGTTAGGGCTAGAGGTGTGAGATCTGCCTAAAGTGAAAAAATGCAGACCTGGCCACGAACGAGATCTGTTTCTCCATTGATAGAGCCTGGTCCAGAAACACACCCAAATTACAAACCTGATCCTTCAGGGGGAGTGTAACCCCATCTAGAGCAGGCTGAAGGCCCACCAGATGATGAGGGTCCCCTCCTAACAATCTCTCTATCTTGCTAGGATTCAACCTCAGCCTGTTCACCCTCATCCTGTTCATAACGGAGGACTGGCAGCACTCTAGGGCCTGCATAGCTTCCCCTGCTGAAGAGGAAAAAGAGAGATAGAGCTGTGTGTCATCAGCTGATAATGCACTCCAGATCTCCGGATAACCTCCCCCAAAGGTCTCATACAGATGTTAAGCAACACTGAGATGATTCTCCTCCACAGGACTCCACACTGTAGACCAGGGGTTTTAAACTCAATTTACCTGGGGCCCGCTAGAGACAGAGTCTGGGTGAGGCTGGGCTGCATCAGATTTTCCCCCAAGTGGAACAAGAGCCCGAGGAAGCCGCCCAGGAGTTTCCTTAGCTGACAAACAGGTGGGCTGGCTGGCAGGCTGCAGTTCTGGATGGAGGGTGCAAGTTGGGAGAGAGCCGGCAAGCGAGGCAAGGCTTTTTTTACTCTTGACAGCAGAGGATGTGTGGGCGCTTTGGGGGGCAGGCAAGGTGAGGGTCACAAACTATCATCTGGGGGGCCGCAAATGGCCCCCGGGCCACATGTTTGAGACCCCTGCTGTAGAGGGTTGGAACAGCTTCCCCAAGCTGTATCATCCAGAGATGGCCCACAAGGAAGGACCAAAAGCCAGCATAATACTAGCCCCTCAATCCCCAATCTCACTAGCCAGTCCAGAATAATACTGTGGTCAACAGTATCAAAGGCACTTGAGAGATCCAGAAGGGCCAACAGAGTTACAGTCCCTCCTCCTCCCGGTTGGTCTCCCTTAACAGGTTTATGAGCCGGGAGACCAGAACTGTCTTCGCCCTATGGCATGGCCTGAATCTCAAAATGTTTTTTTAAAAATAAGGATTTACTCAAACAAAATGCCAGAAACTCTGTGGTATAAATATTTATGTGTAAGATAGTCTAGAGAACCAGGGAAGAATAATTTATATGCATACTGTAGAGATATACAGTGTTCAGATCAAATATGCTCTTCTGCACCTAGCAACCTTGCCATCTTCATGAAAGAACATACAGCAGAGCTGGTTGTCTTTGTTCAATGGAGATGGCAACAGTACAAACAAACTTGTTTTTCTTCCTTTTTCTCAGATGGCAGAAAGAATGATACAGGTGCTTAGATTACATAGGGAACAGCAATTTACAGCTCTCTCGATGGTATACTCCCAATATTGCTTGTATAAGATTAAGGCTTTTATATTTTGAAATTTCACAAATATGCCAGATACAAGTTTATATGCAAATAATGTAATAAATAAAATACTTTTATGTTACTAAAGCAGAAAACCAGGTTTAAATTTTATATGAAAATAAATGTAGTCTATATTTCAAATTATTCCAGAATTTCCACTTCTGCCCCTACTTCAGATTTTCCCCCTGTAGCTTCAACATTCCCAGAAATGTTACATTTTTTGCAAAAGCAAAATACATATTTCTTTCCTAGTAAGAGAAGGGTGGTTTATATGATTCTTGGGTGACTTTTTTAAAAAATAAAAATTCTGCCTTCAAGCACCTCATTAAACTGAAGGGACTGGAGGAACACTTCAATTAAATGCTAATGGCATCTGTTTACATCTGGGATATGCCCTCTAAATCTTGTTGGACTATAGCTCCACTCATCACTAGTAAAGATGGAAACTGCTGTCCAGCCACATGGGAATGGCAATATGGTGCCTATCCCTGCTTTGAAATGTGTAATGACCACAGTATTTTCAGCACCTAAACCAACCAAGATTTTGCTCATTTTATAAAATGCCACTTCGGGCTTTCCAAGCTGTAAAACATCTTCCATGACACACTTCCCAAGGCAGCCATATTAAGATATGCCATCATTTAATGAGAACACATATAGCGTTAGAATGAATTCCAGGTCCCAGAAATATCTGTATTATCTTTTAAAAAATACACTGACAAATTCTGATAATTCCAAAGATCTTTCCATTTGAAGATCAAGAACTGTTACATTACAAGAGGATTATACAGGAAACGGAACTTGCAAATTATAACTTCTAAGGATTAATTAGCTACAACTAGTGAAATGTTATTGTCAAAATTATAGTGTCACCATCAGATGGCTGTTATAAAAGATTTTTTTACACTAAAACAAATTAAACAGCTCAAGAAATGCACTTCTTAATTGCTGTCACATAAAGCTAGCTATCAGACAAAGTAAGCTGCAGTTAGAGTAGGCTCATTTGAACAAATGGAACTTACAAAGGAGGTGACACACCAAGTACTCATTGATTTAATGGGCCTACTCCAGTGCAATTCAGTGCGCCAAGCAAGAAGAATTGGGCCATAGTTCAGTTCTGTATCTTTTATCACAGCCTGCCTTGTAATATCTTTTTGAATTCCCCTAACCGGCAAGACTAACAATTATCCGTGACAGGTTTATGAAGTATTCCCCACAAGCTAATTAAAATTCAAGGCAAACTATAGTACTAATATATTGCACACACTATTCTGAAGCAAAATGTGGAAATAATTATTTTCATTAGATAAGACCGGCTGTGTACTTGTCTTTTAAAAGAGCTTCTGACTATGGAATTTGAACAGAGAATCTTGAATTGAAAAAGAAAGATACTATAAAACTAGTGTGAAGAATCCAATGCAACAAAGTTTAACTTTATTCTGGAACTGATACTTGAGAGAATTATCTGTATCTAAAGGGAAGTTCATTTTCTCTCATTTCTATATTTACACCAATACTTCTTGAAGACAGTAACAGGAAAGCAATAATTAAGAATTTGAAGGCATTCTAATGCAAAAGCAGATTAACAGTGGTGCTTAATGAGGTCTTCAACAAAAGAATGAAAAAGAATGTATAATTGATAATAACAAAAGGATACATACATGCATCTAAAAACAAGATGTATTGATTAATGCCTTGCAACTAATTGCTACCTACAGCTATACAAAAATATGCAACAAATTTGAGAACACAAGCACCCAACATAAATAAACTCATCCCAAAGGCTACATAAATGTAAATACACCTAACAAAGCAGCACTAGGAGTCCAGTTTCAAACACTGGGCAGACTATCGCTATATACCGAGCAGACATGCATTCAACAACTAGAGAGATAGCCAGAACAGTTGAAGGCAGCATGTTCCTCAAATATATCTACAAAACCTGATAAATCTACAGTACATGATTTTTCAAAAACATCAATTAGCTTGCCTCGTTGCCCAGTTACATTAGTCCATTTCCTGCACATTGATAATGAGAGAGAGAAGAATTGAGTTACAAAAGTGTATCATTTTCAAAAAGGTTTCCATGCAGTTGATGGGATGGGACACAGTGCAGAATGGATGAATTGATGCGTCAGATACAAACCTTCACAACAAGATCACCTTTTCTTTCTCACTAAACATGAGCAGAACATGTTACCTTGGCATGATCAATGCGACTTGAGAGTTCCTTTGAAGCGAAACCACCAAAAATGAGGCTATGGATAGCTCCTATCCTTGAACACGCCAGCATGGTGTACATAGTCTGTGGAATCATGGGCATGTAGATGACAACACGGTCCCCTTTCTTCACGCCATGGCTTGCCATAACACCAGCTAACTTGGAGACCTGAATTGGTGAGAATTATTTGGCAGTCACTCACATAACATGAATCAGTTATTGCACTCTTTGTAAAAGGAACAAAGTGACAATTACTCTCAAAAGGCAACTTAATGAAAAACAGATTCACAAGAATTATTACATGTCTCCAATAAACGTAAGTATGTTAATTCCATGTGCTGAATCTATACTGAGTAATACAAAGAGCAGTCTCATTGAATTCAATGGATCTTAAGTTAGTTTCCACTATATTGACCTCCACTGGCTGCTGGGTCTTTGCACTGGGATTGCTGTGAATTTGACATAGAGTCTAACTTCTTACATGTTATTTCAACTTGTTGTAGCTAATATGCAGCTAACTGGAGTACCAAAGATTAACAAAAATGGGCCTCCATGAATAGGAACAGGAGTTTGTATTTTTTTTTATTTCTACAAGAACAACCAAAGATAAATCCTAATCAAAGAGTTATTAGTAAAGGATATTTTTAGAAACAGTAAAAATAAAATGAGTAAGTTTAACAAGGTACACTTGAAAATGTGATACATGTTTGATAATCATAATTGCATGTGATTAATTCTGACTTCTTCTTCTTCTTCTTCTNTTATTACTACTACTACTACTACTACTACTACTACTACTACTACTACTACAGAATTACATGCAATCTAGTTAATTCTGACTTATTATTATTCCTTCCCAGGGTTTTCTAGGTGTACAGTACTCAGAAGTGGGATACCATTCCCTTCTTCCACCCTGGGACTCTGCCACTTGCCCAAGGCTACACAGGCTGACTCTTCTGGGACACATATTGAGGAATCCAAACTTCCAGCCTATGGCTCTGCTGCCAGAAGGCTAACTTACTGAACTATCCAGTCAAACTTATGTCTTACAGACCACCATAGTTTCACCAAGTAAGGAAAAAGATATATAATGTCATTTATGGACATGTGTGCACACACATGTACACCCACACTACAAGATCTACTTCAAGTAAGATTATATTATGAAATTTCAAAATATAACAGATCCGGTCTAGCCAAAATCACATGAGCTTCCCAGTTTACTTAGCTTCATGGCATTCTCTCCTATTTCCCATTACGTCTACTCAAAGAAATCTACTGGAGAAGGAAGTGTGACATTTCTAAAGTAAACTACGTATATAGATTAGTTCTGAGTGAGGTTTAATATGCAAATAATTTGCTACAATATCTTGTGAAGGTATGCACTTTTTAATTTCCTTTTGAATGCCAAACTAAAGCATTAGAATTGTTCCAAGTTGTGTTTAGGTGATTTTTAAATTAAGGCCATGGTCACACCAGCAAAATGTCCCCCCTGTGGCAATGTGTTCCTGTCATGCTTTGTGGTCATGTGGTATTTATTCCAGGATGCATGCCCCAATGTGTCTCCGGGTTACCGAGTCATTTTCTTCCAATTCAATGACCACCTAGAGCTTCTTGTTGAGACTGTCTGACAGATGTTAACTGATGTATCAACACGAACACCATGGGGAATTTTATAAAAAATAAAAAACATTTTAAAAGGACATGCAGAGATAGCCTTATCAACCTCTGAATGGCCATTATGGGCTGCCCTCTGACACCTCTTATCCTCTTTCAAACTGGTTTTAGGACAGAGCTGCTAGAAATCAGATTCTGACTCAATATCCCAGTTTGCTAGTCAGCAGAAAACCAAAGTTTTATATTTTGGATATTAAGAAATATGGTTTAGAATGAACCAGAATCTCTGTAACACAGCTAGTACATGAAGACAGAAGGGAGAAGAAGAAAGAAAGGCGGGGGGGGGGGGCGGGATGGTGAAGCCAAAAATATGTACTGGAAACGGAAACCTGAGGTTGTGGCAGCAATGCCAAAACTAAGTTCTGAACATCAAAAGTATACAAATTAGGTCTAGAATTCAACAAGTTTTAGTCCTTGTGAGTATTCAAATACACTGACAAAGTAATGCTGATAACCTGCATCTGCCTGTGCAAAACTGTGCAACAATGAGAACTGCTTATATGCCAAAAAATAATATTTACTACAGGCACTGAACATCACATGACATCAACAATACCAAAATATGACATTCTGTTCTACACACACACACACACACACACACACACGTATATATATACAGTCATGGCCAGAAATATTGGCACCCTTGCAATTCTGTCAGAAAATGCAACCCTTCTCTCAAAAAAATGTTGCAGTTGCAAATGTTTTGTTACTCACATGTTCATTTCTTTGGTTTGCATTGGAACAACACAAAAGAACAGAGAAGAAAAGTCAAATCTGATACAATCCCACACAGAAACCACACAGAAAATTGGTATTTTAAAATTACACCTGTCAAATACTGTTATTCAGCAAGATTTCTTGATTTCCTTGTAACAGTTCAGGGAATTTTCATCCCCTAGAGAAGCTGACATAATACCACACTCTGACAGCTAACCTTTACATCCTTTGTTGGTTGACAGTTCTTAAAGAGAATGTAATTAAAAGTGAAATGTTTCCCTATATTGCCTTTAAAAGTGTTGTAGTCTGCAGTTACATAACACCTTTTCCCTCAAAATCCTAGTCATGAAAAATACATAAACATATACACTCAGAATGCCGTAGATAGCTAAACTGAAAACATTTAATGAATGTCAGCAGAATTTTAGATTTGAATGTAACCTAAAATGCAGTTTTGTAAACTAATCAACGTTTATCACAAACAATTAAGAGATATTCTCCCACCCTACTTATTATCATGTTAGGCAAAGATTTGCTATAACCAGTAAAGACAGAAGAAATTAGCTAACAATAAAGGATTTTAAGATTTTTGTGCTTAACTCTTTGTTGGAAATATGGCACCTGAAGCAGTACAGAACATAACTAATAGTTTGTAAATTACTAATAATGACAATTTTGTAGCAGCATTGAACTCTCTCACACCTATTCTCAAGTAGTTCACAAAGAAGTCAAAACAGATCTCTATCAAGCACTGACTGCCTTCATAAACAATCAGATTTCAAGCACCATCAAAATGGCAATGGAATGGTAAACCAAAAAAATAATTTAAAAAACTTCCAGGAATCGAATTTTCCAGTGTTAGTATATGTCTGCAAAGAATGCTACATGCTGACAATTTTCATTTTTTAAAAAATCCAGAGTGGAAGGTAGTGTGCTTTATGGCTCCACACCCTCAGATATAAGATTACGAAGCATATGCCTCCCTCCCAAAGGAAACACAGTCTAAGAGCGTGTCCAGCACAACTAGCACTATTTGTAAATCTGGGAATGAATGCCAGAAAGAAATGCGCAACATATAACTGTATTGTTTACACTGACACAGTTCATTCACAGAACAATATTTAAGGAAACTTTACTATGAGTTTGTCTGTAGTGAGAAGAATCATAATTTGCTATTTGTCTGCTAACCAGAATCAGAAGCTGTAAACTGAAGAGTGTTTGCATACCATGGTTTTCTAGGTATGTGATCCACAATCATGCCAAATGATAGTTGTCAATTTTTCAGGGGTCAGAAAATCCTTGTTGTTTTATGCTGTAACAGGGTGTCATTGCTTTGTGCTGTCAGGTTCTTTTCAAATTACAGCAACCCAATGAACGAGTGACCACCAAAATATCCATCCATTAACAGTCCTGCTCAGCTGTTGCAAACCCAAGCTTAGAGTCAATGCACATCATATTTGATCTTCTTTTCATTTGGCTTTCATTTTCTTCCTAGAAACTATCCTCCTGCAAACTTCTACACAGATTTTTGCAAACTATGCCCTGACACCATGTGTCATTCAAGTAACCATACTTGGTGCTCAGCTGACAGACTGTGGCTGAAATCCAGTATGGAGTCACAACTATGGTAGGCCCAGTGGATCAATCGAACTTAAAGAGGAGTTGACTCACCTAAGCTCCACTAGTTCAATGCATCTACTTTGGTTGGAACATACCACTGGATTTCAGCCAACAAAAAGCAACAATCAGCTTTAACCCATGTCTTACTTGTATGTGTCGAACCTTAAACTTACGTTTTTGGCCCTAAATTATACTTACTGCAAACCACATTTTGGCTCAACAACAAAACAAAAGGACTGTCAAGTTATATTGCTTACTTAGAATTGTGTTGTCAAATATAAACTGTATAGTAACAGCTTTAAGAAGAAGGTTGGATGCAAAACGTGGTGGCGCTGTGGTGGCGCTGTGGGCTAAACCGCAGAAGCCTGTGCTGCAGGGTCAGAAGACCAAGCAGTCGTAAGATCGAATCCACGTGACGGAATGAGCACCCGTCGCCTGTCCCAGCTCCCGCGAACCTAGCGGTTCGAAAGCATGCAAATGCAAGTAGATAAATAGGTACCATCTCGGTGGGAAGGTAAACAGCGTTCCGTGTCTAAATCACACTGGCCATGTGACCACAGAAAGATTGTCTTCGGACAAACGCTGGCTCTATGGCTTGAAGAGCGGGATGAGCGCCGCCCCCTAGAGTCGGACACGACTGGACAAAAACTGTCAAGGGGAACCTTTACCCTTTACCTTTACCTGGATGCAATACGAGCTATGCTATTATGAATATATTACACTAGCCATTTGTGTCCTTCCCAGAGTCACAGCTACTGTCTATAATTCCAGCCTCTTTTTAAAAAACAAAATTGAGCTATCACATGAGAAAAATCAAATAAAGCTGCATAATGTTATTGAAAGGAAAGGGATGCATTTAACTGCCCAGGAACTGTAAGTCGTATAACCAGATTTATCTTTAGAATTCAAGACCAGAACTTAAATAACTGTTTAGATGCATCCAAGTCTTGTGCATTCTCATTGAAATATTTTAACTTTTTTTCATCTGAAGATGATATCTCTCCATGCCAATGTCACATATTACTTTTGAAAATGCTTTTCCTTCAAAAGCACTCTGCATAATGTGGAAGCACCTCAGGTTTTCAGTACATTTATGTGTAAAGTCTTGAGTGCACAAATCTAGTTCTGTGAATCTCTTGATCCTGATCTAGAGCTAGAAGCCCATCTCCACTGAAACAGTCCCGGGCTGTAGAAAAGAAAGGGGATTCCATAAAGGTTGAACGATCTTCAGTTTCCCATGAAACATAATCTCCTGATGATTATGGGATCTCTAGATCAAATTTCCTGTTTCAACAGGGATTGGACTCAGTGATCCATCAGGACCCTCTTAGCTCTATAGTTCTTTAATTTTGTAAACATTATAATAGCCAAATTCTACTGGTGTTCGAGTAAGGATTGAATGATTTATTGCAGCTAATTGTTGCAAATTGACTAGGCGCTACAGTACGTTTTCACAATCAACAATACTAAGCTATCAGAATTATGATATCAGATACCGAGAAAAGCATAAAGAAGTGAGGCTCATTGCTAGGACAAGTTTAGCAGCAAAATACAGAAAGTGATCTAAACCAGATGCAACCTCAACTGTACAAATAAAACAATAAGCTAAAGATATATTGCTTCCTTTCGCTATGGTATGAGAGTATTTACTTCATGCATTCAAAGTGAACACATGCTGTTTTCTGTATTTTGCCATCACACATTGAAATCCAATGTACTGGAGAAAACAGTGTGCTAGCAGAATTCCATTGGACTTTCCAGTTGTAGAAGTCATAACACACACAGAAGCAAACCACACTGCACTCCTGGACAAGTCAACCCACATATTTGCATAATTCTCATAGAATTCATGTGAATATATTCACTGAAGCAAAAGGTCAAAAATATCACTGTAAAAATTGTGCAAGCAATAAAATAAAAATAATAATAGTTGGAATCCCTTTTTCTGCCCATTTCTAAATGAGGACTTCCTTTAGTGCAAAGTCCTATTCTCCAGATGTTGTTGGACTGTAGCTCACACTAGCAAATAAGGAGAAACATTGTGAGTTGTAGTCCAATAGCTTCTAGAGGAATGCATATTGTCCACTTCTGCTGTAGTGTTACTTTACTTGCACTAGTGGAATGACCCATTTGTGATTATAAAGATTTTGTTCAACTCCATTAACACATTTTGCTTGTAAAAAAAACCAGTGAACACACCTGTTCAAGAACTTCTTTGTAAGTTATAAACGCTTTACTATTAGTTACAGGACTATCATGGATGATAGCAATCTGATCCCCTTGTCCATTCTCAACATGACGGTCTATAGCATTATAACATATATTCAGCTCTCCCCCAACAAACCTAGAAAAAAGGAAGTAAAGATAAAATTAGGTAATTTTCTTTTCTAGCACAGAAGTAAGAAGACAAAGATAAGTTTCTTCAGCAACCAAATATTCTGCACCACCATCAAAAACCTTTAGAGACTTCACTACCACAAGTCAAGTATGATACAGAATTTACACAAAAATAAAACATTGATACTAGGATCTCCTCCCAGTTCTTAACATTTATAAGTATCTTAGGGCCAGTTCACACAACACTTTCTCCATACCCAAGAGTCAAATGTGCAGGCACAGGGACAAGCATAAAACGTGAAATGGCCAACAGACATTAGATGTTGACCGTCACCCATTCCCACAACAGCAAGAGTACTCTGTCTCTGTGAATACAAAGAACAAAGATAATGATAATGAAGAAGGGCCTATGCTGTCTCAGTAAGAACAAATTTTCAGCAGAAGTGGAGTATTAGTTCAGGTTAAGCATTGACCACAACTGGTAAGGTCAACTCTTTGGGATAACCTAATTTTATTATTATTATCAGCTACACCATCTCTAGAAACTGACATAGATGAGTGCATCTAAGAAGGCAGTTTTCAGGAATCTGATGTGCATGGAATGTGTGCCTCATTGGTACCACAGCTTACACCAGCGGTGAGCAACAGTGGTGTTCCAGATGTTTTTGGACTAGAGCTCTCTCACTGTTGGCTATGTGGCAAGCTGTGTTGCACTGATTCCCCAGTGCACTGGAAGATTTGTTCATCCAATATCATAGTGATAAGACACACAACTGAAGTAATATCACAGCAGAGATTTTATATCCTACTGTATAATTCTTACAGATGTATTTTCTCTCAATGCACCAAAGAAAAACCCCTGCAGATCATACTCCACCATCAGAAAGAAACAATGACTTTTAACCCAGGGATAAGCAAACTGCTCGCCTTGGCTATGGTGGCTAGGGCTTGTGAGTTAGAACCCAAAGTATGGAGGACAACCCTTTGTTCTAATAATTGTTTAAACTAAAACACTCAAAGCATAAAGGTCTCAAGTTGCTTCTGGGACACCTGCAATCCTTCCACTAAGTCCCATTCCAAACACTAAAACACTCCTTCCATTCCAATGGCACTGCACATAGGACTATCTTGTACAACCATGAACATTTCTTGTTTAGCACCATGCTTAAAAAGGAAAAATATAGAAAATGGATCTATACACACCCTTAGCTATTCTAATGGCATTTTTTTTACTCCTGCAAACTCAGTTGGTTCAAATATTTTTTACTCTTATTTGAAAGGCAGAAGAAAAAACTGTCAAAACTGTATGTGGAGCAAGATGTTCAAAAACATGCAAAGCCCCCATCTAACACATCAAACAGGGTGATGAACCCATGGCCTTCCAAGAATTGCTGGATTCATCTCTCCCCACTGACCAGGCTGACAGAGACTAGAATCCAACAATATCTGGAGGGCCACCGGTTTCCCAGCCCTGATACAGAATGTCTGATCTTAGTAAATCCAGGGTGATGGGAGATTCAGGACAAAAAAAGAGAGAAATCTCAAGGGGAAAGGAGACATATAGTTAAACTATGGTACTCTCAGCCACAGGATCAGGTGCAGAACTACGAGCGATGGCAAGTGGGACAATCCCTTCTTTATCACACTCTCTCGGTTGTGGCGTGTCCCACGCAGCAGCAGCAGCAGCAGCAGCAGCCTTTCCGGCCACTCACCACGAGGTGCTAAAGGGCCCTCCTCTCTCCATGGTTTTAGCCCAGGGCTTGTGCCAGGCGATGCCTCCAGCGGCTTCCGCCCAGAGTTTCTCCGGCTCTTCCACCGACGCCCTGAAAACCGCCTCATAGTCGCCCCCGAAAGCGGACGTTCGTGAAGAGAAAGGGCTCGCTAAGTGACAGAACCGGGGGCGCGGCGGACTCCACGCCCAGGCGCTGAGGCGGCGACGCGCCCCAGGGAGC